TACAAAATATTCAAGGCAGCAGGCATTATAATTTTTAACACAGAAATTGAACTATTAGACTGAAAAATCAACTTAGATCTTGCAGTTTAGGGTCACCAGATGTCTGAACAGCCAAAGGAGGACACGAACAATTGGAAAGAAGGACAAATGGGGCGGGGGGTGGGGGGAAGAAAGATACATTAACTATTTAACTTTCTTGGAATCCATGACAAAAATTACAGTGAAAAAAAATTGTTTTACTTAGGCCTACCTGTACAGGTCACCCCTGGGTTGAGAACACCCGGTTTAAGGACAACCCATAGTTAAGAATGGAGCCTATTGTAGCAAAATTCAAGTTAAATATGCAGTGATTCGAGTTAAATACACAAGGGTTCAAGTTAATTATACAATACTACTTATACAGTATTATATAATAATACTGTTCCGTCTTACACGCAAATTCGACTTAAGGACAAACCTTGGGAACAGAACTCATTTTTAAACTGGGGACTACCTGTACATGAAATTACTTTTTCCAGCCTCAGAAGGACTGGTTTTTCAATGGCAGGAATATGCTAAGATGGTTAGGAGGCAAAAGCCTTCAGCGTGTAACTGATTAGGGTCTTGTCAAATTTTGGCAGCAGTGCAAGGGGCTGTAGGGTACTAATCAACTAATTAAGGTCACAGAGCTGAGCTTGTTAACTTGCCATTAGCACTTATTAGGGAAGCGCTGCACTGCAAAGCTGCCAAGGAAGAGATAGCTTCAAAAAAACCCCCCAGAAAGTATTTGATTTTAAGGCTATGCCTGTTGGATGGAGGACATGAGGACAAAAGGGAGGTTGTGTCCTCCTTTTACTGGACATGTAGTAACCGTATGCAAGGGGATTCATACCCTCCTCTGGAATGCAACATTTAAAAAGAATTTGATTTGATTTTTTAAAGTTAAGAATTGGTAGCCTTCTCCCTGCATAGGGTTTGAGTGGAAATCTTTGTTTTTTTAAAAAAAATTAGATGGAAGAACTTTTATTCTGCATTTTTTCTGTAAAACAACTTTTGGCAGATTACTGCCTTTGTTTAATGACAGAATTTTAAAAAATTAACAGGGAAAATTAAGTTTCCCTGTGTGTGTATCAAGAACAATTTCAGTAACATTTTGATAATAATTTTAATTTCAGCCACATAAACTAGAGCACCAGGTGCTAACACATCGTTACTTAATGTAATTAATTTGCAAAATGATAGTATGGGAATTAAATTAAAATGAACATCATTTGAATTGATTTCTTCATGTTGTCTTTCTGAAGAGTTACTTTATACTTTGAAAGCTTTTTGGATTGATTCCCTATAGATTTTCCCTTTATTTACTGGACCATGGTAATTATACCCTAAAGCATAACCTTTGCTGATTGTCAATATCCAAAACCAAATGTCACCACTAATAAGGTAGGAGCTGACAGTCAAGAATGATTGCTACTTGATCTTACACATACCCTTGTTCAGACTGTCATTATCCTTTTAAATATCGTCTGGTCATGGGGCCTTCAATCTCACCACACTGCTGCAAATTTCATTTTTATGTACTGCATTATTTTCAACATAGTTGAGTTGCAAATTTGGTACTGCCTGCAAAATTTTTAAGTACTTCTTCAGCTCTCTGCAGATAGGCTGGTTCTCTAAAATAAATGGTGGAAAGTAATCTAGGAATATCATACTATTGCATCTTGCTACACCTAAATGGTTCTTACAAATACATCAGTGTCGATTTGATCATGGACTGGATTGGATGTGGAATGCAGACTTTAGACAAAGATGGGCAATCTGATGCATTCTGTAAATTTTAGACTTCCATAAACTTAAACCAGCATGGCCAGTAGATTGTTGTTCTATTTAATGTAAGTAATTCAAATATCTAGGAAAAGTGTTTAATGAGACATTGTCTTGGAAGGCTCACACAGAGTACAGTACGTCAAAATAGTAAAAGTAAGTCTATTAGGACAATTATGCCATTCCTGATTTGCAAACAGTATGTAAATCTTTAGAGTTAGAAAAAATAAGCAGACAAATGCATCAGTAAGAATGTTAGATTACAGTCACAGTTATCAATGAGACATTGACATGACAAACAAATAGCCAATAAAATATACAGTACCATAAAGAAGGGCTATTTGATAGGAAGCTACACATTTACTGGTTCTTCATCAATTCTGATTTTTATCAGTAGCATTTTTATTAATAGTATAATGACTGAACTTTATGGCTGTAGCTCATTATTATGTTTCCACATCCCACCCAATGCAATACAGAGCAATGACAGCTTAAGTTTAAGCAATAATGTCATTGACAGCTTTTGTTGCATTTTAGTGATTATTACCTCAGCACATGACATTATACATTATTTATTGTATTTATCTTCAAGGCAATGCATATGAAGGTATTCTTTAATTTCATACCCACATCAATAAGCTTGTGGAATTGGTTGGGTTGAGAGAAAGTAGCTGGCAGCTTGCCAGAGTCTAACCTGATCCAACTTCTTAATTACTATAGTAAACTAGCTTAGAGTTCCTTCATCTTTCTTTCTTCTGTCTTTTCAACTCTCTTAATTTTGTTAAGTAAGTACCTCCACTTTCCTTTCTGCTACCTGCAATTCTAGGGTTCTACTCAACTAGCTATTCAACATAGCACTGAACTGCCTTCAGGGTTCCCACTATGCTAACACAAATTTTGGAGATGCAGTCTTGATTTGAAACACTGCAGGCCAGGAAGGGAACCTTGCACCATCCCACTTCAGTCACTTTGCAAAATCCTTCCCTCCTCTGAGTGAAGTTAGCCTTCTCTGATTAGCTCTCAAACTTTTACAATGCAATTATAAATTCTCAGATTTATAGGCTAGAAGGATTTCAATGCTGTACCATTTTATGGCCTATTTGCATCTAACCTTGCCACAAACATATATAGCCAACATCCTTTTTTACCTTAGCCTCATAATGCCCATAGGAACAGCCACAAGATGTGTAAAATCTGTTACACTTAACCATTTGTTACTTTGGAGGCACCACACACTGAGATGGGCAGTGACAAATTTGAAATATAAATAAATAAATAAAATAAAATTAGTTGTAGGTGAGATTGTGTAGTAGTTATTGTGAAATTGCATGAGATTGTTCACTGGGTAATATTCTATCTGCTTTAGACAGGGACTGAAATAGCATTAACAGTAGAATAATGAGTCCAATCCCTTACTTCCAGCATACACATTGCCTTCTGAACAATGGAGGAAAAATCTAGAAGGAAAGGAAGGGGAGAGAAATCCCAAATTGTGATGCAATTCACCTAATTTTCAATTGGATGATGATGATGATGACAACAGAATAAGATACTGCCACAGGAATGAGCCTAGGCATGGTGGAAAGAGACTTGTCCCATTCCTGTTATGGTGCCATGATTAGAGGATGTTTTTCACACTGCTGCAGAGAAAAGGCAGCAAAGATGGAGAATTAAACCAGTATTTGTTCTTATCACACATTGTACATGCATAATCAGGACAGTATCATTCAGCAGGGACTTGGAATAGAGGCAGGATAGGAAATTTCATGCCTGTATAGTTTTCTGCCAGCACAGGGATTGGTGAAGTATCTTAACTCAGTAGTGGGGAAAGGTCCTGTGTCAATGAAAAAGAATTCCACCAGCTGCAACCATTTGACCTTTGTATAGCCTATTCAAGGCTTCAGTGGAGTGGTTCAATTTCATTGAAATAGATCTATGAAGTGAAGCAGCATGGTGCTTTTACTTACGGTTCAGAGCAGCTGCACTATTTGGTTTCTGCATCTTCTCTGGCTCTTCATTGGACTTCTGCATATATACAGCACTTACACAGAAGCCATTTGCAAAGTAGCCAACTGGAATGGATCAGCCCCACTTTGTTGTTTCAGATGAAGCCTGTCACCTCTGTTGCTTCACTTGGAGTACAAGATCTTCAGATTAAAGCAATGAGATGGGTTATGCCTACTTTGCACGGGCCTACTCCTTGTGACCAGGGAAAGCTTCATGGATATATGACTGCTCCAGGAGGTATTCGTACTAATCAAAGCCAGCAAAAACCCTGCAACATTTATTCTAGGATTGCTTCCCTAATTTGTACCAGCCTGAGGCTTGCACTGGATTTCCCTCTCAGTGTAATCAAGGGAGGAGGAAAGGGTTTTAAAAACTATCACTCTATGCTCTGCTCAGCTGAATTTCAATAAGATTCTGAGTAGATCATAGTTCTATAGCAATTTCTGGTCTTGGATTGCTCCATTGAACCCAACCTGAGACTCAGGACTGTCTATCCTCAGTAATGGAACATATGATCTAGTGCAAAGTAAAAACTTCAAGGATGTACAGGCGAGCCCTGGGTTAAAAATGTCTGAGTTACAGACAACTCATACTTATGAATCGGCTGCCTGTTACTAAAAATGGCAGATGGTAATCTCCTTCCTGGAGCCAACAAACTGTTGAAGCCACGCGAAGTTTTCATGAGCCATTGGAAACTGCTGAAGACAGGCTTAGGAAAGGAACTCGTTCTTAACCTGGAGACCGCCTGTAATTACAATGTAGTTACCTTTCAGTTAAATAAAGTCAAAAATTGTTTTGCCCTGGCTTTTCTTACTTCCTAAAGTATGCCACTCAAAAACCAAGGGCACCGCTGGGTCTAAAAAAAGTTGAGTATTTAGGATTGTGGAGTGCTTTGGATTCAAAGGCAAAAATATGGATGGGTGTGAATATAGCACCTGTTGGCAGTTCTTTCAACCCAGGATTATGCTGTAGTTAGGGAGGGCAGCTGTGTGATCATGGGAAAAGATGCAGCTGCTTGAAGGAGTTGCTGACAGATGCTATGTGAGTCTCCTTGTGTGCTCCTAAGGACCTTTTCTTCTTCAAATGCAAAACATTAAACAACCCTATTATGCTGTAAGTGCTGTGGTCTTCATATTATATATACTAGTTCTGATCTGGTGCCCTTTTTCTTCTTTCCTGTCTTCTTACAGGTAGATAAAGTATGTGGACATCCTGAAGAAAAAGAAGTGAAACCTTTGCCAGACAGCATAGTTCAAGCAAAGGAAATAATAGAGAAACCACCTCTAACAATGGCCCACTCGACTACTCTTAACAATAAAAGGAGGTAATTCTGAAAGAAAAACATTTCCTCATAAATTCTGGGATGAAAGTTTCCCCAAATGATGATGATGATAGTAATTCTGATTCTCCCATATTTCCATCACGTATCAAAGACTCTTGTTTTTCAGACAGATGAAAAGCAGACCTGAAAGGACAGTTGTATTTTACATTTTTAATGAAAATAAAGGAAGTTAAATAAGCAGAAGCTTATTTCAGCTCTGGATAAGGCCTATCTAAAATTAGTACTGAGTTAGATATATTGTTATTAATCTGTAGTCAACATAGGGTAATTTAATCAAGGAGCCATTGATTTCAGCAATTTATAAATGATGGGAGTATGACCTTGAATAGAAAATCTGGCAACAAATACCTTGATGGGTAAAATCAGTTGTAAAATCAGGATATAAATAGAGAATTAGCAAGGGCCTATAGCTTATACTAGTGGAGTGCCTACAGTTTTCAGACTCTTACTACACATACTGTGATGATGAAAGGAACTGAAATAAAATCAATAGTAGAAGCAGGCCTAGAGGTAAAAGGCTTAGATTTTTCAGTAATTTGGAGCTAGCAATGTAAATTAGTGTCATTTCCAAACTACTGAAAATCCTGGACTTTTTACTGATTTAAGCAGTAGACTCTGCCACTGACTTAGGCTCAGTTGTCTTAACGTCATCAAATTATTTTGTAGAATGGTTTCACAATAAAGGTTGTGTCACTTGTAAAGGTGTCTGATCAATTGAAACGAGTGATTCTTAAGTGAATTGGCCAGTTGCTATCTCCCCTAGTGTAAACCAGCACATGACTGGTGAATAATTATACAGGTACAGAAAAAGTTTATGATTGTCTTACTTTTGCACCATTTTCCAAGATGGTTATATACTCAGTTCCAGATGGATAAGCATTTCACTTCTGGTATTCCTTTCCTCTATCCTTGTGGCTAATGTGTCTTCTCAAAATAGTAATTTCCTATTTTACTGCTGTTTGCCCTTATTTTCCTCTTCCCATATCTTTTCCATTTTGTGAAACCTGTCTCTCTGGGACAGTGCTGGCTTGTTTGAAAGTTGCGCTGCATGCTGTCCTAATTAACCTTAGCTATGCATGCAATGATACACCTATTCAGCAGATGGTAGGAGTGGTTGTTGTTGAATTGTCCTTCATCAAAGCAGAAATGTACAAGCAGTGTAAATGCTTTTTGGAAATATACCTAATAGTTTCAATATTAAGGGTAGTATAACATTTTGAAGTCACAGAGGTGCTACATGAATGGTGCCACATCTTAATCAGTGACTGTGTAGAAAAGTATTTCATACACTTGGCTCGGGCTGTTTGGCAACCCCAGTCACTTGACTCTGATATCTGAGTTCCTCTTTTAGATATCCTGACATTTAATAATCTAGAGGTGCATTCTGTTAAATGCTCAACATTTGATTGCAGAAGGGAACAGTTTATATAGCATCGGAATTTTGGTTTTGGCATTTTTGCTTTTTGAAAAAACAAATTCTAAAAGAGATGTTCTGGGCAATATAAGCACCCCTTTATATTTTCTCTATAAGGAGTCCTGTAAACAAGTTGGCTTTAAATCACTTTTTAAAAGTGAAACAGTGTCAGACCTCATTAGTACTTGCAATACTGCCAACCTCCCTCTCATATTGTGGTGTCCCTGTAGACACCAGAAGTCGAGCTTAGCTCAAGGTCTTCTTTATGTTTAGGGTCTCCTGGGAGCTGAACGGTTTTTGAAAGTACTAGTTCAAATTTGTAAGGTTTTTAGAGAATTGGACCATTATCTTGATTGCTGCGTTTATTTATTTCATTCATCTGCCCATCTTGCCATAGTAACTCTGGGTGGTAAGCAAAGTTTCAAAGTTTAACATGGCAATAAATTATAAAAACACACAACACATAAAACAAAATGTATAATCAGGCAGATTTTCCCAGGACTACCTAGAGACTCCAAGGACTGAATATGGGAACATCTTCACATGAATCGTGTATTCCACCACTGATACAAAATTCTTTTAAACAAATTTGTGGTATTTTATGCTTGTTTAAAACAAGCAAGCAGACCTGTATTTACTTAGTTGTTTATTTATGTAGCTGCAACTATTTCAAAGTACCCAGGAGGCAATTCACTTCTTTTTTTTTTTTTTTGGTCTGTGCTCAGTCATTGCTGACCCTGCAG